ACTATCCCCTAGGAACAAGCAGATTACGATCGAGAGTCGAACACAGCTGATTGATTAGTCCAATCATTTTAGCCATGGATACTGATCAAAAATTCTCAAAAGCGAGTAGTTTGAATCCATTAAATCAAGAATATTCGTCATGTATATGGAAGATGAATACTAAAAGAATACAGAAATGTATTTTTCTATTACTACATTTCAGTATGTTTATACAAATGATTAACAACGTCTTCTAGCATTGAACATTCAATTTATTAAGTAGCTTTAATACATTTCATGTAACATAACAAACATTTCCTTTTCCTACATCAGGCTTCGTACAACATTATTTTAATTCAAAAATCATTGAACGCAATTGAGCGCACCATTGGTACAGGTGGTTGTGAGTGACTCTGAACACTTGCCTTTGGTGTCCCGGAGACCTGCTGCAAAGGTAATATTTTCATTCTCAGCACTAGGTGTGCTTGAGCATGAAGATCCGGGCGATGACATATCTTCCTCATTGAGCTTCATCCATCGTTTACCAGAAGCCTTCTTTGCGATGTCTTGGACCCTTTTGGTATTTTGGCTATTACATCGGACGACCATTATATCATCTAAGATGTGTGGCTTCAAATTCGCTCGCAACGGGGAAAATATGTATCTAAGTCCTGAGAAGAGGCGTTCTACGCTGACTTGCGTGGCTGGTGCAGCATGAGCAATTGTGGCCAGTTGGTATAATTGAGGCATAGCATATCGCTTACTTTCCCAGTACTGAAGAATATCTGCTGCTGGATCCAGATCTTCCGGACACCTTGCGAATTCTTCTAAAAGGCGCCTGATGCTGGAAGTACTTGGAGCAGTTGAGCTTTGTTTAGCTCGAGATTCGCTCAGTTTCTTACGCAAAAGATCATTTTTGAAGCCTTCAGAGAAGGCAGTACTTTCTCCAGCACGTCGGCCGCTTTCCAAATTATTACTCACTGGTGACGTAAGCTGTAGAGAGTTAGATGTCTTCACCTGTTCCTCCAGTTTCCTCCACAGTTGTTCCAACTTTGTGATAGCTCGTGAGCGATGTTCCTCTGAGAGAAGTGTCATGAATCGGCAATCTAGGAATACCGAGGCCAAGAGAGCGTCATTGTCCATCAATACATTTTCCCTTTTCTCCATTGCCTTCACTAGTTCATTTCCAAGATTAGTTCCCACTAATGATGTCTCCAACTTGCACTCTATCCAGATTCCATAGAAAGATCCAGGCGTGAGTTGATCTGCCTGAAGAGACTTTGTGGCGATTTTGGCAGGCATCAAAGATTTCAAATAATCCTCAATATACTGCCAATCCTTGTCATTCAATTCGAGAGACTTATGGACTTTTGTATTCTTCCGACAAAAGTCTTTCAGCTCCAGTAATGATGACAGCATATCCGCTGTTGAATGCCAACGGGTTACTATATCCAGGACAGGTTTTCGGGCATTTGGCTTGGAACGGAGCAATACTTTCTTCATGTTAGGTGTTCGCAGAGCCTTAACAGTAGCTCGAGCTTTGGATATTATATGCTTTGACACCTTTTCAGTTTTCAAAGCATCATCTACCGCCAGTTGAAGACTGTGGACGGCACAGCGAGTATTGGATAGGATCGCGGAGTTTCCACAATCTAAGGTGCAAAAGCCTGACTCGTCCAGTCCTAAAGGCTGATCATCTACCAATAGATCTTCACTATTATCCTCCTCGTGGTCTTCTATGCAGTCCTCATCGTCCTCCGATTCAATTTCTTCCTCGGTCTGGTCCTCCAATAGAAGCTTCCCCAGCTTCACCATATTAGCTCCATTATCCGAAGTGAAGGAATAGATATTGGAGACGTCCACCTTGTATTTTTCTAGAACACCCATAATTGTTTCTTTCAGGTACTCTGCTGAGTGCTTCTCGAACAATTCGATGACTCCAAGGGTTCTGATATGAATGATTCCTTTCTGAATGAACTGCACGTTGATTCCTATGAATCCTCGATCATGACGGGTAGCACCATCCACCTTTAAATTGATGAACTTTCCCTACAACGACCAAAAAAAAGTGGAATAAATATATAGAATGATAGAATAAGTAATGAAATTGATTGATCTTAATTATACGCTCACAACATTTCATTAGAAAAATCTACATTGAAATGTCAGCTATTGAATTCTATAGAAAATTCGACTGACTTTCTATGAAATTTTATAAAAAAATTTAAAGTTCCATTGACATGTTTAATATTAAATATTTTATATGAAAAGTCAATCGAAATCGATTTTGAAAAATGGAATAGGTAAATGTAAAAAAATATGGTGAATAATACCTTCAACTCGTCTCGTATTTCAGAACGCACTGTAGTGGCTCTTTCAATGACCAAATCTCGTAAGTACTCATAAGATAAACGGCATTCGCTGGTGAGGTTGACGGCTTCAGCAAGAGGTTTCAACAACTTTTGCATACCGCTGTCTTTTATAATTGAAAATGGCCGTCCGTTGACGGTTACTAACTCAACAAGAGCATCATTGATTTCCTCGCACTGATTGCAATCGTCAAGGATTTGGACCTACGACGTTTTGCAATATTCTCAGAAGACGCATCTTTAGGAATATTAGCATATTCTTCAGGATGGCAGCGCTTGACGTGCTTCTCTAAATTGCCTTTATGGTCCCCCTATGAACAAATGCCAGGAAAAATTTAATTTATGTACCCAGCATGAAGATGTTTTTTTTATTATTATTTCTAACTAATAACTTACCTTTATTTTTTTATCACACCCTGCTACTTGACAATAGTTATATTGATCTGCTTCGTTGAAAACAAACTTGCTTCGAAATGAAAGTAATCGCGGTCTTCCACCGTTAAAGCTATCCTGACTCGTTTCCATACTAACTTGTTGTTGCGTATCAAGTACGCGAAATTAACAATCTTTCTATTTTTAAATATTTAATTCAATCCTTGAAAATTTCCCATTTTTATTTTAGTATTTTTCCCAAATAATTCTTAGAATTTTAATTATACTCAGCTTTGTCCTCTAGAAAAATTGTAAACTCATAAAATCATCCGAAAATATTTCTCAATCATCTCTTTTAGACCCCTCAGAATTATTTTATTGAAATAATCCTCATATTTCCTCAAGTTTGTAAAGACATTTCTCAGAAATTTAATCACTACCAAAATTTGTCCTAATCCCTTCATTCAACTCAAAAATTTGTATTTCCAAATTACTTTATAGTTTCTTTCCGTTTATTGCGCTCGACCCTCAACGGTCCCTCAATATTTTCGCCCAGACGCCCTTTATTGGGGAATAGGCCCAAGGCGCGCCAATTTCTCCCTCTCTCCCTACTTCCTGCACTTCCGAATTTTC